ATCTGCTGATTCATAGTATAAAGCTTGTGCAATAGCTGTCAATACACTTTTGGAATGTGCCTAATTACAACAGTCCCTCCCCTCCCAGTAATTCCTGGATATGGTAGCAAAGTTAGCATGGGAAATAAATGACTCCTGAGCCACAGTGTCTCCGAGCTCTGTTTTGGAGAGCAGAGCACGCACAGGGGTTCCTCCTGCCAAGCTGGCGCCTGTGCCAGTTCCTGGTTTGGACCTTCCAAATGCCCTGTGTACAAGTGCCTCCCGTGCTTCTCCTGCCTAAGAATGTGCAAAATGTACATATGTAATCTTTTCAACCTTTTAACATTGTTCAGTAAATCTGCTTTTCCACTGATTTGAAGTTTAAAATTTTAAGTTATTTCTGTATTCCTTAGCTCATCAACAGTAGATGTAAACACTTATATTTTCCTTCAGTTTGTTAAATTAGCACAACATATACCCATATATATCCATATTTTATTCTGACACATCAAAATGAAAACCACTAAGGGTTCATTACTATTTATTTTATACTGGTTACTTTCTTAAAAGAATAATAAGTGTCAAATAAAAATAAATTAAAATAAAATAAAAATTAAAAAATAAAATAAAAATAAAAAAATTAAAAAATAAAAATAAAAATAAGTAAAAAAAAAAGTGTCAAATGAAACATAAAATTGTAGGGATACAAATTCTCTATCTAGTAACTACTAATAGCAACAAAATTAAGGTCAGAGATGTCTTAAACATGAAAATTTAGTCCTTTTAGTACTTTAAGATACTTTTATCACTGTTAGCCTAGGGTCCTTTTATCAAACTGTAAAACAAACTTTGCCCTCTTTGAGCTACTGATCACACATGACCTTTATGCAATTAAGGGTACATTAACACCCAAATGGAGATGTTTAAATAGATCTTAGTGATTTAATACACTTTTCAGTAAGTTGGAAAATGGTACGTACTTAAATTGCCTATATTGTTTTTGAAATCTTGACATGCAGTTACTTAAAAAGGGTTGCTTTAACAGATAAATATAAACATCTACACAATAATGCTTAACAAAGGTACTCTTTAACAAGATTACATACTGGATTTTTTTTATTAAGTTCATTGCCACACTGTCTGAGTACCCAATACTCATTACTAAATTTATCTTCACAATTACTTTTATGAGATGAGCTTCTCATAAGTCATACACAAGAAACTGAAACAGAAATAATAGATGTTTTGTACAGTCTGACAGTTGCATCCCAACTCAAGGGACTTGATACTAAAGTTGTCTTCACAAATACAAGCCTTAATCACAAGCCAGCCTGTGTCTCTGAAGCAATACACACCCCACTGATGGAGCTATTAGCACCCCCACTGCATCAAAAAGATAAAGAGCACCAACAAATATTTTTTGTTTAAAAAAAAAGGGGAGATAGCTGTACATTATATTTATTCCTTGTACGCATAGAATGTGAGCATCTTCGATGATGCAATTGGTAAAATTATTTTAAACTGTTCCAAACACCTTCCAGATCATCTTAAGTGACTAATAGCTAAAACAGACTTCAGCAAAATATGTCTCTTCTCCCTTCTACGTGGCTTGTCATAAACTCCGTTGCCCACTCATTCAGAAGGTGGCTAAATGAGCTCTTCAGCTACAAATCCTCAAGATGCAGTGGGCTCACTGCCAGGAACAGAGAACTCCTGTCTCTGACTGAATGTTTCTGGTGCTTACTTTCTGCTGGCTCTGGGATTTCTTTGCTCCTTCTGTTAGCTGATTTAACTTCCTAAAACTTAACAGAATTCCAGCAGACTGATGAACCAATTTTGCTTGTTAAATCAGTGCATGACAAAGCCTGAGAAGTACCACAACTTGTAATCAGAAGGCGGCAGGGCTATCCAGTCCAAGCTGAGGAAGCCTGTCTTCCTCCTTTTGGCAACAAGGAAATCAGCTTGTCTATAGTCCAAGTAAATCTTTAATTTCTGCTCTGAGGTATCAGTTACTTCAACTTACAGTCTGCCTTATTTTATCTCAATTTACCCCGCTAAAAGGAAGCTATGTTGTTTTTTTGTTTTTTTTTTTTTAATTGGAGATGCAGACTTAAGACAGAAGACTGACTCCAAAGAATCTGTAAATAAGAAAATAAAACTGAACTACAGCAAATATTTATTTTCTGCAGAAATTCAATCTTGCATTTTAACTGGTTCAGGATCAAGTAAACTTGGCCTAGTGGCATTTATGATATTCCAAGGCCACATTAAACTTTAATTGACTGTGCTGGTTTTGACTGTGGTAGTTATAAGGTTACAGTGGCTAGCATGGGGCCACGCCTAGGACCTGTGCTGGGAACAGTGCTGATAACACAGAGACATTTTCATTACTGATGCACAGTGCTCCACAGAGCGGAGGCCTTTTCTACTCCTCACCCCACCCCACAAGCAAGGGATGTGGGGTTGCACAACCCCACAAGGGTTGTGAGACAGGGACTGTGCACAGTCCCTTGTGGGAGGTGACACAGCCAGGACAGCTGACCCCCAATGACCAAAGGGATATGCAGACCATTAGCCACCATCCTCTGCATACAGACTGGGGGGAAGAAGAGTGGGATATTGGAGCGATGGCTTTGTCTTCCCAAGTATGCATTAGGTGTGCTGGAGCCCTGTTGTCCTGGGGATGACTGAACACCTGCATGCCCATGGGAAGTTGTGAATTCTTTGTTTTGCTTTGTGTGTGCTGATTTTGCTTTCCCTAATAAACTGCCTTTATCTTGACCCACAAATGTTCTTTTACCCTTCTGACTCTCCTCCCCATCCCACCGGGGGAATTGAGTGAGCAGCTGCGTGGGGCTGGGCTATTGGATGAGGTTAAACTACAACAACGACCAACTGACCAGTGACCAATGCACTCTGGCTACAACCTCTCTGCTCGCTTGACACACAGATTCCAGCTCTAAACTAAAACAAAACTAAAAAAAAATAATTTACTTGCAGTAGTTCAGCAGCAGACTAACACACTTCTACAAACTGCTTTATCATAAAGGTGTCTTAAAAAGGAAGTGAATAATGTACAAGATGTTTGGGCTTGGATTTTTCTGGTAATAACAGGTTTCTGAGAGCAGACATTGCATCTGATCCTGATGCACAAAGGGACTGCCTCAACCTTCATATACAAAGTCCTAAGAAAAAGAGAAGTGTGGAATATTCCATGTGCTCCTTCGAAAGTTTTACTACAATCTTTACAATTCCTGTGAACTTTTTCACTCTGAGCTCTTACCAAGGACTTACATTTTTTTCATGGCCTGAATTCTCTATTCTCCCTTGAAGACAAATCAAGAGCGTGAACAGACACCACAAAAGAAGGCAAAAATATTAGTTCCTACCTTTGGAATTTTATCACGTTCCTACCATGGAAGAATGCACCATATATAATCATATATAAATAATTATAAGTTAATGCAATTCAATTGTTATTTCAATTACTGTTAAACAAAAGTAACTCATTGCTTGTACTTTCTAGGATAGCACAGTAACAATGCTAATTGCTCCATCTTCAAAAAATTGCAGTTTTTTTCATAAGATACTGCTGAAAGAGGTGGGTTTTTTTATAGTTTGGGTTTTTTTTCTTCACCAATGCAACCTGACACTTACTTCAGTAGATCCTTCAAGCAAGAATATCCAAATATCTTCTTGTCTCCACTGAAATTACTTAACTTAGAATGTGAAACAAAAAAACCATTCCAGCAAAACAAAAAGAGAGCAAAAATGTGCAGCTTACTTTGCAGAGTGAAATCTTTCATTGTCCACAGAAAACACTAGGTTATTTCTTCTCCAACACCTCAAAAAGTGACTTAATCTTATTATTGAGTATGTAGTCTTTTTCAACTTTTATGTTTCCCAGCAAAACTTCTAAATATGTATTCTAAGAAAATTTATAGCCCTCTTCTCTGTAAGGCAGAACAAACACATGCACTAGAATTGACTTTGCTTCAGATGTATTGTAAGTGGATGTTAACATACCATTTTTGGAAGCAGATTTACATTACCTATGCTGCACTGACCCTGTTACCTAAGAAGTTACCAACTGTAAAGAAGAACAGCATTTATGATGAAAACAAAGAAAAAGGACTGTTGCTAACAAGGTTTGGCAAGTATTGCTGTCATTTTAATGTGCAAATGTTCAACTAGTAAAAAACAATCACTTGATTTTCAACTTTTCTCTGGGTAGCTTGAGAAGATACTGCGTAAGAGATATACAGGCATGCTCGAAGAACAAAGTTCTGCCAGTGACTTAGCACTCCTTGAGAGCCATATACTTGGGAATGTAATTTATAAGATGAGCAGAATTTAGCTTTCTACTACACCTTAAATTCTTTTTTTTCATTTTAAAATTAGTTAATTTGAACTTCATTTAAAACTCTGTGTTTGACCTCAAATCTTTCCACTGGTAAGTTGAAAGCACAGCACGCATAAAAACAGTAAGAAGTCCCAGTGTTTCAGAAGTGATACATGTAACTTAGAAAAGAAAGATTCAAGATCTTGACAGCTTAAATGATTTCCTCATGCAAGATACTTTGCTTTCTTTCCTGCCAGAGTTTTTAGCAGAAAGTAGATCAGAGTAAAACTGGGCAATACGTAGTAGAAAATCTTTGAACTAAAGATTGCCCACAGAGGTTGTGGAGCCTCCCTCACTGAAGATATCTAAGAACCACCTGGATACAATCCTGTGCCATGTGCTCTAGGATGACCTTGAATGGGAGATCGGATCAGAGGACCCCCTGTGTTCCCTTCCAACCTTACTGTACAGACAGAAACAGCATAAAATGAAATTATTTTATATGTAACATGTGACAAGCTGATACAGCAAATTACTTACCCGGTAAACTCACAACTCCATTCTGAAAAAATGATTTGTTAATTTCAGAACTCAACAAGTGTAAAACATTAAAGATATCTTAAAACTGAACTCCAGTTCTATTACCTTTGAAATTTTTTATACAGTCTTAAGACATTTATTACTGTGAATCACATTGTATAATTTATTTGAATTCTCTACAGAACAATACAGTTAATTCAGTATCATCAATAACTTTATACAGATACAGTATTGAAGCCATGTCATCTTTTGCTTACTGTCAAGTACAAAACAGCTTATACAATCTAAAAAAAAGCTACAAACCACTCTTGTAGCATAATGTATGTTGTGCCTGGTTAAAGTTTACAGCAGTAGCTTTTTGATCTTTCAAGACAAATAAACATGACACCATATAATAACAAATAGCTGTGCAAACTCAGGAGGAAGACTTAACTACCTCCTTTTCCCAGAACTACTTTTCCCTGCTTTACTGCTGCTACCACCAGACTTGCTGGAAGATTTTGAAGAGAAAAGTCTTGTCATGAATTCAGACACATCTGGCAGCTCATGGTTGGAATTCAGCATGTTCATTGACTGCTCCATTTCCTGCATGAAAAGATCACATAATCTTAATAGCTTGTAACAATTCTGGCTGTATCTAAGGCATCAGTCGAAAGCCCGTATGAGAAAGATACCAAATTTTCCCAAATGCTGTTTTACTTTTTGTAGTCCTCCAGGATACATATTGCTACACAGTTTTATGCAACCACAGCCAAAAACACCCAGCTACACACAGAAACATAAAACCCCAAAACTAAAAGCAGCAATGCATGGAAAACGGTAACCGTGTCTTAAGCAGTCTTACAGGGCAATCATCTGATAAAAAAAAAATCTAAAAAATACAAATGATTTCTCTTCAGCACTACTTTTCTCCATATTAAAATTTAGGCTATTGTTTAGATATTCAGATATGTGTTCTCACAGATGTCACACTTTTGTTTTTCAAAACAGTATTATTTATAGCAAATTAACAAATTTTTGATGCTGTTTGAAGGGATTAGATATTTTTATTGCCCTACTTTCTGACACCAACCTACTAGAGTACTGCAGCTGAATTTTCATTCCTTCAGGAAAAAAAGGATTTTAATATATATATATACAGACTAGTACTGTTCTGATTCCAGAAGGAAAAAACAAGCTAATTTGAAAAACATGACAGAACCTCCATATACTCCACAAGTTAACACGTAACAATTTAATACATGATAATCTAGAGAATGTCATTACAATTCAGTTCTTAAAAACAACTTTTTCCTACTCTTCAAAGATAAGTTAAATTATAAGCAAAGTTCTTCCAACTTAAAAATTTCTCCTTAAGAAGTCACTTCATTTATCTGATAAGAAGTAAATCATCAGAAATTTTGGCGGTTTTACTATCAGAACAGCCCGTCTATAAGCAGTCACATCAGTGAAAAAAGTAAGGAATATGTGATTTTCTTTTTTTTAAATTCGACTTCCAGAGCTCAGCTTGGTTTGAAGAACATGTTGTGAATACCTAGTATATCTCTGTATTTGGTTTTTAAATCAAAATTATAGCCAAAATAGCATTTTACAGCTCTGATAGGCTTTTTAAAAGTATCACTTATTAAAAAAAAATTATTCTGACACCTATAAAGTACTACTGAAGACAGTGGTCATTCACAGAAAAAAGAGTGTTTAGTTAACCAAGCCTCCAAAAAGCAGCCACCCATGACAGACAAATAATACTTGTAAAAATAAAAGATTTAGCAAACACCTTGAATCTCCATTTTGTCCTAGCCTTCTGCAATTCAGCATTTTGCATGATGAAAGGACAATAAATCAGATAATTTAATGACTACATTAAGACCCTCTATCATATACTAGTGCAACATCTGGATTTCACAGCGTAGTGAACTGCGGTTTAGGCTGAAGCACAAGAGAACCCCACACCACACCCTTCTCAACACACCTGACACTTATGAAGTGACTCATTGCTAAAACAGCAACACTCTATTAGCTGAATAAAAGATGCCCATTAAGCTTCCTTTAAAGTACAGTTCTGTTTATATTACTTTTCTGTGCCTTGAAATCTCATTATCTTTGGTCTCCCCACATGCATCAACTGCATGTACTTACCCGCCTCATATCAGGATCACTGGTGTTGACAACTTTAGGCAAAAGCACAAATATCAGTAATGGAAGAACCATCATCATCACCTAGAGAGAAAACAGGAAATACCTCTTCAGCTTAGTTGTTGCTCTAAACACTTTTAGGACCTACTAAAATAAAATGAAGCTCTACTAAACAGCCAAACTCTAGAACTCCTGCATTCTGAAACAGTAAGCCAGTAACACTTGTCAGGAATGAAATATTACAAGGGAGTATTGTGCTTTAAACAATAGTTTTCAAAGTTGGACCAATAAGGCAAATGGTTGTTCTCTCTTACACCTGCTGTAATTACAGTTTTGCAACATGCTGATCTCTGCACTACTAGAACAGCATCACATTGTTAAAGGAAGAGACTACGGGCTGTTTTCAGAGGACATAAATTAACAGTGGTGTATAGGGGAGGAGATGTCAGAAAATAACTTCCCTATTTGTAAGCAAATAAAATCCAAGAAAACAACCGTCTCAGAATAGAAAAGGAAAAATGCACATTTTTTCCTCAATTGTTTTTATTCTTAGTATTCTGATGAATAGCTGTATTTGGATCCTTAGCATACTTGCAGTATTTGTGTGTTGCCTGTACGTACCATAGGATTCATGAGGAAATCCGTCCATCCCCAAGATTCTCTCTTTATAAAGTATGAAGGTGGTCCAGAAGATTTCATCTGGAGTGGGTATGGCAGCCTGACAACTTCAGAGGGTTTGATGTAATTCACATATCTTGCTCTATTAGGAAAAATGTAAATAATTGAAAATATGAAACACAGAATCTTTGGCAAATAATAAAGAAGATTTTTAAAAAATCCAAGCAAGTTTTAATGGAAGACTACAAACAAAACCATCTGCTATGCAGTGTCAGCTAGACTGCACTTTTTAAGAGCTAATTTCTCTCAGCAGCATATTTGATGGAATCAAAAGCAAACCATTTTTTGTTATCTTGTAAAAGAGCAAGAAAAACAATGCTGTTTAGGGTCCACCTTTGAATAGTGTAATATAACCAGTTTGCTCAGGACACAACTACTCACAAAGTTAATACCTTTTCCATAAATGCATTACTCTGCATTTATTAATACTGAATCTCAGTCTTTATTACTTCATAAGGTTTTTCCACAGCTCATCACTAGTATACTTCATTTGGGCCTAATATTCAGATAATTACTCAGTACTAACATCTTTGTCACTCTTGACCCATTTTTCAAGGTTGATGAATATTTATCCACTTTGTTCAACTCCAGGGATAACTTCTGTCCATAAATAATTTATTCCTTGTGAATTTTTCACCAAATACTCATCTACAGACTGTCTATAGAATCTATACCTATAGAATTCCCTCCTACCTTATGACCATGTGTTTTCTTCAAAACTTGAGATTTTTAAGTAGATCTTATCAAATACATCTGTCATCCACATGCTGTCTCCTCTTTCTAGTTATTACCATAATTTTTTAAGGCAGTACATCCCTTAGAAAATCTCTGTTGACATTTTCCTCACGTATCATTTTTCTTCATGCATCTCTGACTCCCCAGCTGCATTCCTCATTACAGTCTCCATCCACTGGACTAGTAGAGATGCCAAGCCTCCTGCTACTTTCCTCTGCAGATGTATCCCAGCAATTTACTCAACATAAATTTGTTACCTTACTAGCTACAGCTACAAACGGTGCTAAGGGTGAGGTTACACCCAATATTTTGTCAATATCATTGTATTTGATACATTTTAATTATTGCCAGTAAGATACTAACACATTTTATAAAAATAAAAATTCAATAAAGTTTGGAAAAACCTAAGCTCAAACAATCTATTCTGAGCTTATTATAAGCTCAAACATTATTATATTATGACTATAATGATGTATTATATTATAATATTAGTATATTAATTATTATTAGACTGTTTGCACTGTTTCCTGTGATATTTCAATTTTAAACCTCCCCTAAATATACTGGAGTATTTACACTGATGCTTGTATTCCTAAAAGTTAAGATGCTAGGTGCTTGAACAAAGAAAAATCACAACAAGCATTTTCAATTAAATTAAAATTACCTTAATAGATCGATTTTTCTGTATTACTGAATAGTCTACAGTTACAGTCAAGAGTGGTTTGGCCACAACATAAAAACAAGTCAACAATCCTACAGAAATAATGCAAACTGGCAACTGCTAGCATTAATCAGTATCTGTCACAAGTGTCCTTGTGACACTTGGGGGTGCAACAGAAATATTTAAAAATTTTCTTGTGCCAAGTCCTGACCGTACACTTATTAAAGAAATGGAAAAGGGAAGAAGCAAAAAAAAAGTGTTGAAAAATAATAAAGCAGTTAACTAGTTTATGCCTAGATTTTATTTCAGGATAGCTGCATAAGTAGATGGACTTTTAAAGTCTCTTTTCTCTTCTTTCAGGCCACAAACAGGAAGAAAGATATCCGACTCTGGAATCTGAGAAACGTGCTTCTAGAAGTGATGTTAAAAGAAGCTGACTCATACAGTCTGAGATGGAACATCAGGCCTACAGCACTGCTTCCGTGAATTTTGTACTGTGCCGTCAGGCACACGTAATTCACCAATACAGAGGCAAATCGGGAAAGGCTCACCTCATTTTGCCTTTTGAAGTTATGTCAACTCGAACGGGCTCAAATTTATGAGCAGGGGATATAACTTCCACTACGTAAGATCCTGAAGGTACATCATGAACCACAAAACTTCCATCTGTCCTGAAAAAAACAGGGAGTTCCATAACATTTCAGTATACTCCAGAATATAAGACCGGGTGCTCTGTTGTTTGGGTTTTTTTTTTTAAAGAAGCTGTGTCATTTTTCATTACAAATCCAAATCTTAATATAACCACAACGACCAAAAGCAAAATTTAAATCAGTCAGCACTCACAATATCAAGCCCTTTAAGTTCATCAATGCATGCGCAACAGGAGCGGAAATTCCTTGCTAGGTTAAAAATTTTGTTGTGCCCTCAAGGTGTTGTCCTGCTGGAGGAATAAATTAACAGCCCAAATAAAATCTGAAAAAAGTTATATTTCCCGTATTCAAGTGATGGCAGAAGTAATTTACACCTTCCTTCCTCCTTCTGAAATACATACAATGAAGTTTACTTTGCTTTAGTGCTTCTGCTGAAAGCAAACCCCCCCAGAATGACATCCTACAGAGTGTGGGTTGGTACTAGGGCAATTTGCAATGCAAAAAATAGCAATTTGTACCTTTGTTGAGAAATAGAGGTTTTTACTTCTAATTGCTCCCTTCAGGACCAGCCCACGCTGGAAAGCTCAATCACAGCAATAAGGAAACTAAGAGCTCTGAACACATACACAGAAAGGATTTTTAAACAAGTGGCTTTTATTTTAAAATATGAAACTCGAATATTCAGTGAAAATATTAGTAAAAGGTTACTTGGAAGCTTCAACACTAGTTGCCTTAAAGGTACAGAAGTTTTCCTCCTATGTGTTTCCAATAAGAAAATCCTAGTGTTCTCTACCGTGTTAAGAGCAACATCAAAGACCTTTTTCCTTAAAAATAAGATGCAAATTTAAGACAAAAAATTTGTTTAAAGGGCAAAAAAATTTAATAAACCCTAACACATGAGAAACATGTAGCAGTAAAACAAATAAATGAGCCCTCTTAAAAGTGAATTCCGAAAGAATTTGTCATTATGTCCTTCACACCACATCTCTCTCTAGCATGCACAACACCTATCACCTTTATGTGATGATTTGAATCCCTAAGAATGCTTACACTATTTATACTGCAACTGTTTTAAGGATGTTTCCCCAGGAATCTCCTTTTAATTTTTTTAAGTTTGTTAAGTGTTTGAGAAATTTAGAGTTTCAGGTAAGCATTTAGAAATCTGTCAACCTGACAGCAGTTATTACATCAACTCCCAGATATGATGTCAGGCTCTCATAACTTGTTTGTAGTGGCTTAGCAGGTGCTACACTGCCAGGATTCTACAAGATCTGCAGAGCAGAATCTGTTGTGCTAATCTATTAACAGAGCCTATATTCAAAGTTAACTCCTATTGCAGAGGGATTAATTAAAAATTATGAATATTTATGAGAGTATATCTTAACTCCATGCAATCTCATTTTTATATATACTTTAAAAGCAATGTATTATACTGTATTGAAAATCACAAAGAAGAATTAGAATTTACTTCTACTCTTGAAATTATATTAGTTCAGTTCTCAATTCTGATGCTATTTTCTGTCTTATATTCGCTAGATCTTTTGCTTATCTGAATATATCCACTACCACCCGAGTCTAATAAAATAATGATTCTTTACAGCTTCCATTTGCATGATGTGTGAAAGAATGAAGCCACGTCCATTAAATTACCTTTCACTAGTACAGTTAAAAGTTTTTCTTTTACAGTTTACTTATACTGTATTGAAAATCACAAAGAAGAATTAGAATTTACTTCTACTCTTGAAATTATATTAGTTCAGTTCTCAATTCTGATGCTATTTTCTGTCTTATATTCGCTAGATCTTTTGCTTATCTGAATATATCCACTACCACCCGAGTCTAATAAAATAATGATTCTTTACAGCTTCCATTTGCATGATGTGTGAAAGAATGAAGCCACGTCCCTTAAATTAGCTTTCACTAGTACAGTTAAAGTTTTTCTTTTACAGTTTATAGTTAAAAGTACTCTTAACTACAACTCTAACTTTTACCATGACCAAACATATCTCCACATCGGGTAAATTCTTAGCCAAGGTGACTTTCTTAAATAAGAAGTGACAGAATTTACAACAGAAGCTGAGAAGGAACACGGTCCTCCAGACAGCGCAAACGCGTTTGGGGTTCTGTTTTGGCTGTTGTTTTTTTTTCGTTTGTTTGTTTGAATTAAAACTCCGTTCCTGAGTTTTTGGCCAGCAACCTGAGTCATCAGCTCGGATACGTCTGCCGGAGGTTGAGGCCAAACCCTACGGCACTGCACGGCTGCCCGTGCCCAGCCCATTACAAGGCAGGTGCCAGGTGTTGACAGCACGGCCGGCAGCTCAGCTCGGGGTTCTGCGACTCCACGGTCCCGGTGACCGGGACACGGCGAGCCCTGCAGGACCCGCGCCCGCCATCTCAGGGCCGGGCCTGCCAGCGGGCCCCGCGGCCCCGGGAGACGCCGGCTCCTGCCGGGCCGGGCGCATGCGCCTTCTCCCTCCGCTCCCGGCACGGGCGGGGCTGAGAGGGCTCGGTTGTGCTTCCCTCACCTCCCGGGTGTGGGTAAAAACAATGGATAACTTGGCACTGACAGTGTGGAATGACAGAAATGTGAACCTGAAGAAAATGGATGTGTAAGAAGTACGTGTAGCTTCCTTGGTAATGGATATATTTAAGGCCTTGTGGTTTGAAATCTTAGTATGAAAAGACTAATAAACATTTTCTACGGGGGAAGAAGTAACAAAAAAAATCTTAAAAATATTAAAATTGGCCTAAAGCGTCATCTTTTAAATGATTGGTAGCACTGCAGTTAGTTTGATTAGTTACAATAGAATGAAAATGTGTTACTCAGTAGGCAGACACAGACTTGTGGGAGAGCCCAGGAGGGCTGTAATACCTCCCTGCCCCTAATTTCGCTTTACAGAGCACGTCCTGTCATATCATATGGATTCATCGGCACATTGTGGCTACACCTGCTTCCTTCTACCCCTCTGCTTTATGTCAGAGTTAATTACCAAACCTGTGGAAAACACTGCCATTAAACAAGATGAACCTGGTCATCAGCTGATAATAAAAATACTGCATTATACAAGCATGATTTAAAAAGCACATGTCATCCTATGTCACTGGGATGTTGTGAATTATTTGTCTATTATACCTTTGAGCTGTCTCTACTTTGGAGAAAATCAGGAAAATGTATGGTCTGTGATGTTCTTCTGTCACATAGGCTCACAAACACCTAAACTCCAGCAGGAGTTTCCAGGTGGAAACCCAAGAATGCCAGAACTGAATAGTGTTAGAAGTACTTGCCAATAGAACTAGTAAGCAGAAGCATTTATGTTAAAGCTACTGACAACACTCTTTCAGTACAACACCACAGTCATCACAGTGACATATCATGCAGTTAGTGTAAAAATGCACCTTTTAAGAAAATATCCTCAAGGGACTGTATTAGGATACTGTCAGGCCACAGTATGAATGACCACGCCCTCCAGTTTTAAGGATTTCATAATCCTAATAAGTTGTTTTTATAACCTACAAGTTTCTTGGTTTAAATCCTTGGAGAGCCCAAAGAAAAAGACTCCCCTATTTGTTCTTTCATAATCTAATCCAAGAAGCTTCTCTCTATATATATCATCCTGTTAACAAACTGAGAAGTTAATTAAACAACATCTTGCCTTACCCAACAGCTGCACTGGCATGCCCACTTTTCAGTGTTAGGTTGATACATACATACAGTGAATGCGAAAATGCAGTCAAGAATGACCTCCATGTTTTGTAGTTGTCTCTTCATTGATGGATTCACTCCTTGTGTTGCAACAACATAGAAAATTGTGAGTTTCCTAAAAGTTCCACCCTGGTCACAAGCAAATTTTTGGTTTTGTCTGAGCTGCTTCAACCAGCTGTCACTGATGGTACAGAGCTGTCAGCCAGATGGATGAGAGCTGACAGTCCCTAATGGGTTGAACAAAGAGAAGGCCCAGATTAATGCAATGCCATCACACTGGTAACACTGAAATCTGTCTCCACGTTCTTGTCACCTTGGGGTTTCACATACAAACTGAAAAAGCAGAGGAAACTTATTAAATCCGTCCGAATCCAAGATCATCACAGCTGTATACAAAGAAGTGGTTTGGAGTACTGTTGGACACTGGTAAGGAATAAGAGAGTTTTTTAAATCTCCCAAGGATAAAACGGGTTTGCAAAAAAATGTAGCAGAAGTTATTTTTGATTAATCTTCTTCACAGTTAGAATGCTAGCAAAACTTGCTATGTGTCTTTGGTTACAGATCACCATTAGTAAAGCATTTAATTCACCTTGGAACATTTCAGTGCAATTGCTCTGAAAGCTTCTCTTTCCATAAAGCTAATAGTAGTACCTTGGCTAGTATTTAAATATTTGCTTTGGAAAATGACAATGATTTGTCATTGACACTGGGTTACTGTAATACACCAAATACTGGACCACAAAGAGCAGCAGTCCAAAATCTCTTTTGTGCGTGACTCAGGCTGAATATGCAGAGGTGGTGACTTTGACCAGACAGGCAGGGAGCACCTTCAGCCATCTGCTTCTAATCTTACCCTAATCTTTGAGTCAGTCCCCGGATATAGGTACACAGATAACAACACTCAACACACCAGATGAGTCATGCTGGTTCACAAATGTTCGGTGGAGGCAAAGATGTAATCCTTGCTGACACAAAGAATAAATAAGAGCTACATGTGCATTGGGATACTCATAGCTACATCCTATTTGGTTTCTGGTAAACTAATTAGAGGTGAGGAGAAATCAAAATTCCCAGCCAAGTGAGCAGAGTTATGAAAATGCACAAACTGAAGATAGATGGAAAAGTTCAGCATAAAGGTACTGTGAAAGGCCACAGCCAGGTAACTCATGTACTGAGCTCTCTCCTACCCAAGGAGCTTTACTATGATTAAGCACAAAATTAACAGAAATTGTGCTGCATAGTTCTTTCAGCACCATTAAAAAAAAAAAAAAAATTACTGTGGTGTGCCATCTACTGGCAATTTACTGTGCTACACTAGAAATGGTAACACGGACAGAAAAATCGGGATTACAGCCC